ATCCAATAACAATAATTGATGAAGGCTTATTACTTCATCTATTGATGTGTCGTCCTTACTAACTACTCGTTTCCTAACACCTACATTACTTACTCAGTGGTTCAAGGATCGAATACTAGTATCCTGCAAATATCAGTCAGTCAGTCGCAACGTAGAACTTCGCACGTATGTACATAAGTTCATGTTGCCGTACCACAACATTAGCACAGAGACGCAAATGTCAAATCAAATCCCATAGTGATAAAGATAGTAGAGGTATTAATGGTAATGAAGAAGACTAGGGTTCGAAGATATTATTCAAGAAGTATAATTCAGTGAGATAAGATTAGAAAGACAAAGGTAGAGGTGCTGACAAATCCAGAAGATTAGGATTTGAGAGAGCTCAAAGAATGGATGCAAATATCCTCTATCCTTATTAGTATAGTAGGACAGAGCGAACTGCTGCGCAGTACACTCGCGTCCTTTAGTAAGCAAACGGATATCTCGCCTACACCATAAGTGACGCAAGTTAGCAAAAGCCAGTCGAACCTTATGTATCGTGATGTCATTCGTGAGTAATTGCCCTATCACTCGACACGTTTGCACTACTCCACTGATCATAAACCTCTGACTACAATTTCAGTAATCAGTGATCTTCAAATAGTAATAATAATAATAATAATAATAATAATAATAATAAATGAAAAAAAATCATTTTGGGTATAATTTTACTTTGACCGTAGACACATAATAAGACTTAGTAGTTAACTGAGACAAAGAAAGAGAAAAGACTATTCTATCGATCAAATATCATTTTGTTGTGATCGAAAGCAATTTTTTTTCTTTACCAATTAATTTATGATGATGAGTCAGGCGACTAAGTTGATTTATTAGTAGTTTAGTACTTAGTAGTAGTAGAAGGGTTAAAAAAATAATATGTGCATCATACCATTTGCCAAAAAAGAAAAAAAGAAATCAATTCATTAACTAAGAATAATCACACACAAAAAAATATTTTCTTGACACGTACGCATGTACAGTATGGAGTAAATTTGACAAACGGATTAATTGAATTATTCAAGAAGTATATAATCCAATGAAAGAAATCAGAAAAAGAAAATGAGAAAGATAAAAGTGATGAGGAATTCAGAAAATTAGAATTTGAGAGAAGACAAAGAGTGAACGCATCCGCACCATTGCAAACGATTTTGAGCCATGTCAGTTAAAGTCTTTAATCATCGGTTACTACTATCTCATGGGCCCCAACCAAATAGTCTGCACCTACAACATAGCATGGCTCCTCAATCCAACTGTCAGTGACTTCATGGACTTGTGCTATGTTTTGGTCTGGCCGCTTCTAGCTTTCTTTTAACCTTCCACGGTATAAGGAAGCCAGGAAGTGACATCCGCCCTCATACCTACAACAGCACGTGAGACAAAATTGGTCATAATCAAATCCTTTCTATTCTTGTTAGCTAAAATTGGGTAGTATTTTTTAATGAAGAAGTAAGTTGGATTTGACTTAAATACAATGAAATAAAGATATCAATTTGTTCATCTATTGGAAAGTCTAGTATACTACAGTCATGGCAATTCTTTTAGATAGGATTATTATATTTACCACGGAGATGCTGTCATTTTGTAACAGAGAGAATTCGAAAAAAGATAAGGCATAAAAATAACACAGTACATATAACGCTCCAAGAACACTTTCACCGTCTAATGTAGAAAGTTTGAAAAAGCATACATAGGGTTAACAAAGCAGAAAAACTGCGTGAGTGACCGACCGTTTTATGGGTTCTGATTTTTCTCCTAAATCGACAAGATCATCACTATTAATATAATTCAGGAGTTAGACTAAGAAAATATCAACACATTGAATTAAGGAAACATAAATTATGATATAGCCTAGCACACTTTAATAGAGCGTCAATCGATAGGCACATTCTGATCGACTAAATCCATTAACCAATAAGAAAAAGGATTGACAAGTACAAGGTCAGAATTTAAGTCAGGGCAAACAAGGACTAGGACAAATAAACAAACAACAGTTATAAATAATAATTAACATTATTTCAGGTCAGCAGAGTAAGTTGTTAGTCACAATTGTAGAGAAATTTCAATAGCTCATTTCTTTTCAAAGTACGTGCTGTTGATGTTATTCAGAATAGAAATGAAAACTTTACAACCAATTCAAACAGTTTAAAGACCACAACACTTAACATTCTCATCTTGTGGTACAAATATTCTCCATCATATATATAAGTGAGCTGTGACCGGTGGAATTCACCCATATCGAGTGTGATGCAGTTATCTAGCAATCGTATTAGAGGATGATGGTTGCACAATATTGCGAATAGATTGATCAAGTTAGACATTAACATCGTTAGATACCGGCTCAGTGG